CATAAATCATATTTACAACTTATGTGCTTTCAGAATATGTAATAAAAATTGGGGGTCACCTTTCAACCTAAAGAGCTATAACTGATTAAAAATAGGTCTGATTTTAGCATATTTTCACTGTATATTGGCACAAATCCGCGCAAAGATACCTATATTTGATGCGCACATACGGCATTGCTATTGGCCAAAAGATGACCGAAAAGAATGGAAGTTTGTGAAAACAATGTCAGGAACCCAAACTATGTGAGAAAACATAGTGTCTAGCTTCCGTACGTGCTGCGCACGTAAAAATGCGTGCGTAGTGGAAAATTTCAAAAAAATGTGAAATGCTCAAAATGGCCTAAAACGTGCTCTAATTTAGTCAAAAAGTGATTTTGAGCATTTTGAAATTTTGACGCACGCGTGCGCGTGCGTAGTGAAGCGCACTCATCAAATTAGGGTACAGTACATTCAACATTAACCCGAAGTTAATGCTCGCTTAATACGATTTCGAAATGGCAATTGGTTAGGCTAATATGATCGATAATGTAAAAACGCAAAATTGCGCATAGATGACGTCACGCATGACTGAGCGCGTTGAAAAGCTTACCATGACTATTCCAGACCAAGCCAAATGTTCGCTGCCAGCGATTGTGCGTAACTCGTGGCATTTTTTGAGATATCGTGCGAACAGAAAAGGGGAGAAAGAAAGAAGAATAAAAAAGTTGAAGATGATGATGATCCGCACTAGAGGTGATCCGCACTAGATGCAGATCACCAATTATTGTTTTTCAGGTGTCTGTTCCTTACCTTTAGCTGCTGGGACAGCTGCGACGTGCCCGGGGTCACAAGGCGTTTTGCGTTATTACTATGCTGGCAGTACAAGTGGTTGTACTCCATTTGCTTATTATTGTGGTGCAAATGCCAACAACTTTGAAAGCAATACATTGTGTGAAGCAGCATGTGGAGGTAAATAACAATAAGTAATTTGAAAAATATTGCGCTGACAGTACAAGTGGTTGTACTCCATTTGCTTATTATTGTGGTGAAAATGCCAACAATTTTGTGACCATAACCGATTGTCAAACATCATGTGGAGGTAAATAAAAAAATAATTAGGGCCGAAACCCCCCTTTATGTTTCAAAAGCACATCTAACACAAAATCTGTAAAAAATCAAGGTAAGATTTGCTTCGTACACACAATGTAGCGTTATTACTTGTAAGGGTAATGCCAACAACTTAGAAACCCAAGTAGAATGTCAAACAACACTTGGCGGTATATAACAAGTAATCAGGGCCAACCTTAATATTACAGAGGTGGTTGTAATTTATTTTCTAATTATTGTGATGGAAATGCCAACAACTTTGATACCCAAGCAGACTGTCAAACAGCATGTGGTGTTTATAAGTACCTAGTTTAGTTTAGAGCAAAAAAAAAAACCCAGCTTTGTGTTGCCCAACCCAACTGACCCATTTAAAAATCAGGATCGCTATTTTTTGGCCTAATATAGAGTAATTATTTACTGAATTCATTTGATTGTATTGTCTTTATTACATCTCCAAGGAGGTTATATTTTCATTGGATTTAGTTTGTTTGTACTTCCACAAGGATTTTATATTTTAATTAGATTTTGTTTGTATGTTTAGACCCTTAGGTCTACCTGCAACAGATTTTTACAGATGATTTATAGAGTAAATAATAATATAATATAATATAATAGATGCAAGTTTATCAGTGATATTAGAAATATCTGTTTGTGATTGTTTCAGTGAAAAAAATATTTGCATATTTTATTATATACTGTAATTTGATTTTTCAGTAACAGTAACTCCATGTTCAACAAATCCTTGTCAGAATGGAGGTGCATGCACTGTTGTAGGTTCAAATTACACGTGTACATGTTCAGGGTGTTTTACTGGAACCAACTGTCAAACAGGTGTGTACAAGTTGTTTTCATTGCTAATAAGTGATTGCCTAATATCTTAAAATATATTTATTTAAATTTAAATAAATATTCAATTACAAAGGAGTTAAATTCAGATACAGTATAAATACTGCTCTTAGTTTTACGTTTGGAATATTAAGTTGCTTTTTTTTAAACTTATAATTCTGCTCGTAAAGTTGTTTTTGTTTTTAATGTCCAACATGCTGTCAAACAGGTAAATGCTCTCAATTTAAATGATTTATAGTTAATTGTCCTAGAGTCGTGAGTACCAGGTCTGCTCTAGCCTTTTTTGCGTTTACCTTAGAAATGCTTGTCATAATGGAGCTGCTTGTGTCCAGCTTTCTGGTTCTTGTACAGCATACACATGTACTTGTCCATCATGCTACACAGGACAATTCTTTGAAACATTGTCTGTCCGATTTTAGCTGATTTTTTTACCATACCTATGTTGTATTTACCTTGTACATGTTTTAACATGTTTTTCATTTCTTTCAGTATTGAATGCGTGTAACAACCATGCTTGTCAGAATGGAGCTGGCTGTGTCCAGGTTGCTGGTTCCTGTACAGCATACACATGTTCCTGTCCATCATGCTACACTGGACAATTCTGTGAAACATGTTAGTTTCAAGATTCAATTTTATTTAATTAATTGTAGTTATTTTTTTTATTTTTATATATGAGACTGTATGTATTCTATGTTGTTTCTGTCGCTTTAATTAAGTTAATTTATCTGTTTATATGTCAGTGTTAAATGTTATGTTATAATATTGTCTATCCGATTTTAACAGTGTTTTTTTGGCCATACTAATGTTCTCTTTATCTTGCTAAATGTGTTTTTTTTTCCAGTATTGAATGCATGTGACAACCATGGTTGTCAGAATGGAGCTGGCTGTGTCCA